CCCCAAAACCCCAAAACCCCAAAACCCCAAAACCCCTAAAAGAAACAAAAGATTGATAAAAACCAAAAATTCAATATAGTTAAATTTTTAAGAAAAATTTAAAAATGAGTCAACAAGTGGACCAAGTTGTAGAGGAATACAAGAATTACGACATTGATGGCCTCAGAAGAGAGCTACAGGATGAACTCGGCCAGGAAATCAATAACCTCAAGAGAAACCAAGAGTCTCATATCGGTGAATTGACTAAGAAAGTTGATGGATACGAAAGACTTCAAGGAGAGCATAAAGATCTTCAAAAAGAAAACAATCATGGACATGAAAATAGGAAGACTGTCCTTGTACATATCCAAGAGGAAAACATCAAGTTTGACAAGTTCGCACAGGATGCCTCTGAGGAGAAAGCTAAGCTTAGAGACGATCTAGCCAACAAGGAGCATCCTTTGAGACAACTCCAAGACCAGATCGCTGTTTTAGGCTTAGATAACAAGAACTTGCAGTTAATCATTGACACTGAAGCTGCTCTCAGAGAAGCCAAGGCTAATGCTGAGACTAATGCAGTTAGGTTTGTTAATACCGACCTTAAGGATCAAGTCCAAAGAATAGAGAATGATATTGTAGACGAGAAAAATAAGAAAGATGAAGCTAAGAGAATCTTTGACGAGCTCCAAGCTAAGAACAAAGATGCACAAAAAGTCTTTGAAGATCTCTTGAGCGAAGCTGAAAAGAAAAGGGATGATGTCCAACAAAACCTCGCTGAGTTAAAGAAGGTCCTCGGAGATAAGAGAGCAGCTAACCAAAAGCTTCAAGTTCAAGTTGAAGAAAATGAATCTGGCATTATTAAGTTTAGAGAAGAAATTACTCAACTGAATAATGATATTAACACTCTTAGGAACTCAAGTGAAAATTCAATCAAAAACTTGGAAGATGAAAGAGAGAGAAATGAGAGGATTATAAACGACTTGCGTGGCAAACTCTCTGATGCTGACCACGATCACTCTAAGTTAAAGATTTTGATTGCTAAAACAAGAAATGAGATCGAATATCTTAATTCTGAAAAATCTAAGCATCAAAGCCAAAACTACCAGAAGAGAATTGATGATTTCTTGAAAAGTATTACTGATTCTGAGAACAAGTCACAAAACCTAAGTGAAGAACTCTCTAAGCTCAATGCTGAATGGCAAGAAAGACTCCTCAAGACAACCAGAGAGACAGAGGAAGTAATCAAAAAGAATGAGCACGAAGATCACGTTAGAAGAATCCAACTCCTTCTTACCCTTCTTGAAGAAAAAAATGCTGAGCTGGAAGAACTCAAGAACAGGAAAAATGAGATCGAGAGACAGCTCTCCAGCGAGTCTTCCGATGCTAAAGATGCTAGAATCCAAGGACTTCAAAAGGAATTGGAGGAGATCAACAGAAAACTCCAAGAAGCGTTAGGTGAAAAAAATCAGTTATACGACGACCTGGTTTCTAACACTAGAGAACTTCTTGCTATTAATGACACTATCCAAAAGAACGCCCAAGAAATTGCCAGACTCACTCAAGAGCTCTCTATTCTGAGAAAGGAACTCGAACAAAAGGAGAAAATCATCTACGATCTTAGAATCATCCTTGAAGAAAAGAGAAGAGAAATTGAAGAACTTGAAGTTACTCTAAAAGAAAGAGAACTCGAGGCTGAAAGACTTAGACAACTTATTGCTGAAAAGGATGCCCAGATTAGAGAATTAGAAGAACAGGTTGCTGCCATGAATGCTAAGCCACCAACTCCAGAGCCAGTTGAGGAGGAACCACCAGAGGTCCCACAGATCGAAATCACCGATGATGTTGATGCTATGCTTGCTCAATACATCAACATTGCTGGATGTCCAGTTCCAATCAAAAGATTAGGAGGAGGATATTACATGTTCGGTACTAAGAAGATCTATGCTAAGATCCTCAATGGACAACTCGTGGTCAGAGTTGGAGGTGGTTACATGAACATCGAAGAGTTCATCAAATGCTATGCTGATCAAGAACTAATCAAAGTTAACAAGAGAAGACAGCAAGGACTAGATATCTTCACTGGAAAGCCTGTTGTTGCAGATGATGCTGGAAAGTCTCCTAAGGGAAGAAGATCTCCAAAGGGCTCAAGATCTCCAGGCGGAAAGATTGCTGGTACAAATTGTCCAACTTCTCTGACTGCTAATGATATCAAGAAGTACAAAGAAAACTAATCTTTGATGCTCTTACTCTTCATTTACAAGTTCAAAAATTTATATTTAAAAGGGGTTTTGGGGTTTTGGGGTTTTGGGGTTTTGGGG